GCATAACCCTTTTGCTTGAAATTCCTCATGTAATTTAACAAGCTATCTGTGTTTAAGAGCAGTTGTTTATTTTCTTGAATATTGAGATGGACAGAATTTACCACCTAATGGAAATCTGCTCTCTTACAGTCACATCTGTGTTCTCCAAGGTGCTCCCAAATCTTCAATCAGGTAGCACCCTAGAAACTGGAGAGGGTCCAGTGTTCCTCACTTGGAAATAGATGTCTTTAGAGAATCACTACTGTAGCTGCTTTCACCTTACTTAGATGGCTAAACATAAACAGGACAGGATCTCTCTCTAGACTCTAAGCAGCACTTCACTTGCCTGCTGACTGTACAAGATACTTTAAGAAGAGGGGTGTACCATGATCTGAAGCAGAGGGACTAGCAGGATAGCTCCTCAACTTGTTTTTTTTAAGTGCTGAACCACTCATGCACTCACTGGGCTGTGAACCATCTGACCATTCATCACTTTTGAGTATCGGATTTAAAGTATTTTGTAATGCACTCATGAAAACAGAGGAAGATAAACAGTAATTTATGAAAATGTCTTACTTGTTGAGACGAAAGAAGTTTGAAAAATGCATTACTTTAAAGTTGCTCATCGGGAGACAATATTTCATCTACTGATGAAAGAACACTTATTTCTTACCTGCTAAGCTTCAGCATTATTTGGAAATTAATCACACTAAATAATCCAAACACTGTTTATATGGGTCTGAATCTGAACCTTGTTTTTCTCTTGGTGGGAAGTTCTCAGAATAGATTTCTGTTTCAGTCATTGCTCAGCAACCTAAACACTGTTTTCCATGATGAAGTAGCTGCAAGTTAAGCTTCTGAGACGACTGGCACCTCCTGCACATCAAGACTTTTAACTTGTTGACTCTGTTATGATAATGTCAAATTAACCATATCAGGGAATTAAATTTAATTCCCCCCCTCCCCCAGAGCACAAGCCTATAAAGGATGATACACACTGCCACCTCACTTACAGCTCTGAATGTTTACTATTTATCTCCTGTGCCTTTTCAATGCCAGCCCAACCTAAGAAGACTGTGTGACCTATTAAAGCTGCAGCACAACTATGAATTGGAAATTCTAGTTCACTGGATAGAACATGTCAGTGGAGGGCACAAGGCATGGCATAGCTTTGCAAACACAGTGTACATGGTATTGTGGACTCACAGAGCTTTCCAAGTGGAAAATGAGACAACTAAGCCAATGCCTTCTCATCTTCCTTCAGTTTGCAGCTCAAGTTGTGGGAAGTTAGAAATCTATCCATCACACTCCTGCATCAGAAAAGCTACAGTCTCCACCTTAGCAGGCTTTCCACAGAATAAAAAAGCTATTTGAGAAGAGGGACCAACAGTCCAAAGGCTGTAACTCCTGTTGTATTAGCTATTAACAAATGAGCACAATATTACTGTTCCAGCAAACTGAACAATAGCAACACACAAACCTTGAATCATTACTTTGTAAAGCAACTTGGGAATCCCAGGACACAACAGATGCTGCAGACTACATAGTGTGCCTCCCCAGCAATGTTCAATTGGCTGCAACAGTTCCAGTTCTTGCTTTTGAGGCCTTTAGAAAGGACGTATGAAATCAATGGGGCCTTCTCATTGTTTCCATGGGGTGAAGGATCAGCCTAATGCAGAGAAGTTACTGGATTCCAGAACTCTGAGCTCTGGACTGTCAGAGTGACGTGGCTTGCAGGGCTCGTTCTGTCCATCTGCTCTGCCTCTCTTTTTAAACACAGCACGAGCTAGCCTAAAACTCTTTGTACAGAAATGCGCACATCTCCAGCTTAAATTACTTTACCAGATTTAACTTTCTATGCTTTCTGCCTCACTGACTTGTGGAATAATTTTGGATTTTTCACGATAAAAAAGGATGGAGAGGACCTTACATTTTTTTATTGTCAAAAGACACTGTATTCTTAGCCAGACACACTACAACCTTGAGATAGGGTATATGGCTTGATTTGATCAATGAAGTTAACTGAGTCGTTGTCATTTGCTGCTGCAGTTTTTGGCTTTGAATAGAGCAGAGAAACAGGCAGTATCTGTCAGGCTGAGTGGCACAATGAAATTTGTGCGCACTGCCATTCTTCTTAAGAAACACAGATGAAGCTGGTACCCTGAAATCTGTTAAATCTGGGCTATATTTTATGTGATAGCTGATTTTGACAGAGTCCTTAGAGGCTGCTTAATTTAGGTTTCACCAGATAGGCATATTCATGTTATAACTTTGGTTATAGCTGAAGAGGGAGGAAGCATCTTATGCCCTGCTAAGGGTAGCCCAGCTACCAGCAGCAGGTGGGGAACTTGTTTCTGACTCCTGCACTTCTCACCACTTCACAGCCCTGAGTTTACTGGGGGGTACTGCAAGTGTGAAATTGGTGCTTATGTGCTTATTGGCTTTTGGCTCTTCACAGATGTGGGAAGTCATTAGGTGACCACACCAAACCCCAAGTCTGGATGGATTTCCTGTCAGTGCAGTTTATGTTCTGCCAGCTATGGGATGATCCCTGCCTTGTTGAGCAAAATTAGCCAAATGAATGAGGTTTTCATGGTTTTGCTGATGCAGTCATATTTGGACTAAAAAGACTGCATGCTACGGTACCAGAAATAAAAATATATTCCCTTCTTTCCCCACTAATACAAAGGATAAAACTCGATTTCTCGCTCCTTACTCTACTGCAAACATGTAACTCTACAATATATCTAACACAATTCAAACTATTTGGCTACACTGTTTCTCAAACAGTAAGGTGTGATGCTTGTAATTCCCTTGTATTACAAGAGAAAATTGTGCCTCTCTGTAGGACACCAATTCTCTGAGAGTTCTTGTATGGATACTTGAGTACACAGGAAGAAATTGCTGATGCAATGGGATTCATCTGTGTTTCAAAAAAGATTGTAAATACAAGATACTGCAAAGTGTTGGTCATACTATACTAACTGTATGTTCACTCATTTTTACTAGCATATGTATTTTAATAAAATAAAGATTGCATGACCCAGTATCTTTATATTAAATGACTAGCTGATTTTTAGTATAATGCAAACTTTTCTAATTTTCCTATAATAAAAACATTATTTTCCCATGTGGGGAAACTGTGGTGGTGAAACTCAGCCAGCCAGCAAAAGTCAGTCTACTTTAGGCAAGTTTAATAAATATGATGGACGTCATAGGATATCTTTTAACAAACTGGAGTATCTTAAATTAACTATCTCAACATTTTGATTAAAAGAAGCCAAATTTATACAATGTTTAGCAGCATATATAATGGCATATAGTGAATATATAAATATGTAGTAGAGACTACATATTTAATACTTTGTGAAGCTTTAAGACCAATCTGTCTGGTACGAGTGTCCTGGAAGCTACCTCAGAGGCTACCCTGCCCTGTTTTCCGTACTACAAGTACATACTTGTGGCCACAGAAAATGTTCTTTTAAGCATGCAAGGTACTTAGTATCTAAGCATGCTTAGTATGTAAGTACATTATCAGGCATTCTCATTGGCAGACAACAGAATGTCCTTTAAGTAGTTAGGTAGTTATACTCAGAAGCCATATAGCATATAGATTACCTCCTGCATGGAGCAACCCCAGAAACTGCTTTTCAGGCACAGCATATATACACAGACAGAAGGTTGGAAATGGGCCAGACATTGTAAGAACCTCTAACAGACTAGGGTGCAATGGAGTTCAGCCTCTACGTGCAGCCACCCACACACACAGAAGTCAGGCTATGCACACTTCCAGTGCCTAACTGTCTTGCGTCAAGGAAAGCCTACTACTCCAGCTCATGTTTGTTCCCACCTCTTCATGGGACAGTTGAGTAACAGCTTGTCACAAGGAACATCTTTGCATATGGTATCCCTACTGCTGCCAAGGGTGATGACTGAAAATACTGGAAGTGAACAATGGGAAAGACTCAGTATTCATTCTTCTTACTCCTCAGACTTGACACAAGCAGTGCTGAGGCATGCAAAAGAACAGCATTTCAAACAGAAGGTCAGCTTCTGCCAGTTTGAGATTTGGTGCATAATTAAGTTATTTTCCTGTAAAAAATAAAAAGCTTTGCTGCTGTGAATCTTCACTACTTCACAATTCTTATGCCTCAGCCTTAATTAGAACCTGAACTTTTGTGCCACATGAAATCTTAGTTCTCTTTGCGGAGATTACAAATGCAAGTATCAATTACATCAGCTGTGAAGTTTCACATTGTGAGAAGACCTCTGAGAACTAAATCTGCAGGCTGAGACCCACATGGAGTGTAATTCAGTTTGGAAATATTCAGCAAGAATTACGTTAAGGGTGGTAATTTACTAAGTAGACACTTACATTAAAGGTATATTGGATGTTGCTTCACAGGATTATATTACCGTATTGCGATTCATTTTTAAGAGGTTACCAGGCCTGTGGGAATGGTATGGTAGGTAGGTAATATAGATTCCACAGACTGTCTGAAAACCAAGTAGATGATCTTGCTGTCTGCCAGGCAACTGGAAGTGAAACTATCAAGTTTCAGCCCAGCTCCACATGTAACTGACCCCTAAGCACCAATCCTTCAGAAAATCTTGTTTACAATCTCATGAGGAAATTTGGGAGCTGAAGGGCTGGAAATCAAGTCATATCCTCAGGAGAAGGAGGGGATATGAGAAGGAAAGGTACAGTAGGAGAGCTTTGAATAGCTTTGTTCTATGAACAGGGGACTTCACTCTCCAAGGATGTCAGATCCAGCACTTTCTGTACAAGGTCTTTTTAAAAATAAAATTCACATCCCCTTTTCACCAGCACATATGTTTTCAAAAGATATTTCCATGTGTAAAGTAGAAATGAGGGAAAAACCTATAGCTCCAAGTATCTGGAATTTTAAATTGTAGCTGAATTTCCAGTTTACATTACTGTTCTGGCCTGAAGTCTCTCAGCCCCCAAATCTGGGTAACAATATGAAAGATGACAAATCTTGAAAATACCCAAGCCTTACCTTCTTGTAGAGACTTCTCAGGTCTCTGTACTGCCACATGCTATTGAGGACCTGAGATGCTGCTTTCACCACTTTTGGCGAATGCCTGTTACACACATATATTAAAGAAAGGGAGAGAGAGAGAAAGAAACAGTGAGAAAGAAACTGTTAAGTATAAGACTCCATCCCAATTTTCAAATGCATTGCTATGGATTTAAACCCACAATTAAAGCATGTTTTAAATGTATTATGCGACCTTTAGTTGGCATCTTGGAAACCAATGTGTTTTTAAGCAAGGGCAATACAAGATTTTCTAGTAATAATTATTTGGTGAGGAGCGAAATAGGTGTTCCTCAGCACACTGACAAGGATTCATGCTGAGAGCATAATAAGAGCAGTGAGAGAGAAGGCAACTGGCAAGACTGTTGAGGACCCAACTGGTATTACGTACATCTAAGATGTCCTGGCTACATCTTTTGCCAAAAAGGGCAAGAAGTTAGAACCAGAGTTTCTTTCTCTATAAGCTGCCAAACTCCAAGTCATGATGGCATGCTCGATGCATTTAGGATCTCTTAGCAGTGGCCAAATAAACACTCTGGATGGGTGATGAGCACAGTTTTTGAAGCGCAGAGCTGAGATGCAAAATTACAACTGATTACAAAACGTCATGACAAATTTAATTAGGAATCCAAATTAAGACTTGCATCTTGCTCGCACTATTACCCTTTAATGATGGCAATGCAATGTCATGCTAAAAACCTTGTATAACTTCACATGCACTTCCTCTTCAGAAAGGATTTGAAAGAAGCACTATTGTCACAATCAGTTGGTATAATATATTAAAAAAAAATATCTAAAAAACCCCAAACAATCAGAGAGTATTAAGCTCAGTGAGGAGGATTCAAATAGAAAAGGACTGGGAAGATAACTCAGCCCACTGAGGAGGCAAACACAGTGTAGTTAAGTCCTTGTGCTGTACCAGTTATACGCATAAAGCAGCAGAGCGGTAGAAAACCTTGCAGAGGCCAAACTCTGGAGTGAGGATTGATGGAGTCTAGGGCAGTCATTGAGGTGATTCATGCTTTAATCAGAAAGGGCACATGAATTGCAAAACCAAAGAGAAACCAGAAAGCCAGCAGCATATATTATTGGCCTGGGCAGAAGTCTTCTCAGGGGTCAGGCCCTGGTGCATCCTGTGACCTCTGAGAAGGACAAGAAGCAGGCTGGCAGTCAAGCTGGTAAAGCAATGTTCAGGACACAAGTGATTCAATTAACTTATACTGTATTTTCCTAGTAATTTAATTGGTGCTTCTTTTTTTTCCGCCTTCCATTTCTCACCCAGAGTACAGCAGTTGATGGGTAATTGGTGAACAAACAGAAATTTCATAATCCCTTCCAAGCATGATTGTTTTTATTATACTCCCAGCTGTACTGGCTAGTGAGGTGCTGATAACATGGACTAACCAGAGATATAATTGTGCCATACTGTGGGTACTGAGGAGAGATGGGAACTATGCAAAGCCCATATGGGTTTGGCCAATATGACCTTGTGAACACCAGTTCTCTTGTGTTGTCATACAGGGAAAGCACTCAAGCCCTGGGCATGTTCCAAGGGCTAGCAGGGCCAGCCTCACACTCCTGGCACACATACATACCAGGATGCATGGCCAGGCTAGTATCCTGCACTTGTAGAAGCAGATACTTGATAGTGGACAAGACACATTTGAAGTGTTTTACTGTAATCAACTGACCATATCAGGATTTCCTGTCCAACAACCAGCAATTCTGGTTTTTAACCAATGTATTACATATCAGAAACAAAACCAAAGCGATGGTGTCTGATACTAATACTTCTGAAACAATGAACCTTTCACTTAAGATGGGCATTTGTAGAACTGTGAGTTGACAGGTTTTCTTGTTCTGTAACCTGTAACAGTAGTAACAAAGGACCACAACTCAAAGTTATGTGAGAGGTGGGATACATATCATGATTTGGGAAGGCATGCTGGAATTATTCAACACTAACAGAGCTAAATACTTTCATTCAATATAGGTATGTCTTTCACAGTTACGAGGGATACTTAGACAGGGAATTACATCCTTGGATCCTCCTAAAACCACCCATCATCCTTTGAAAATTCAAGATTTAACAGGTATTTATAATCTCTACCGGATAATGAACAGGTAGACAAATGCATTATTCTGAGGAAAGACAAATTTAACTTAAGAGAAATGGATATGAACCTGCTTGTAGTATCAGTACATTTGATCTAGAAAATATAAATAAAAAATTAAATAGATTCAGCAGTAATAAAAATACAAACGTAATAAATCAGCAGAGCATGGGGAGCTCCCACAACTGGAATCACATACTCTGTTACGCTACTACTTTTTACCCCTGACAATTATAATGTGAGAATGTTTCAATAATGAATTTGGTATGAAAAGAAAAAGGTGACAACAGAGGAAAAGAAATGCAATTAAATTATATTGGCAATGCTCTGATCACATAGGCGAGCATAAGTTCTCATACCAAATGTAAGGTGCATAAATCTTTCCTTCAGGTTGTAGCCTGGCATTGTGGGGCTCTTTTAAAGCTCTGATGCTGCGGTAGGCTGTGTGATGACAGCTTCGAGTAGGTGGACTGATGGGTTTTGTACACTATAATGAAGGCTTTTTGCTTTCAAACTGCCATAGTCCCATTGCACTATACTTCTGCAGGTTGACAAATATGAGAACCAGGCTATCTGTTTTAGGCAAAAGAAGGATAAAGAGTGAACTCTTCATGAAGAGTGTGTACATAGGAAAACAGACAAGATGAAACCATAGCTGCTCTGAAAATGTCACAGTTGTGTTTAAGATTTTTGCATGTTTTGGTGTCTCACAAAGTAGCCTGCAGTTATCCTAATGCTCACTCAGAAGTAAGGTGTTGGGAAAACCCAGGGATCAACTTTTCTCCTATGCCCCACCTTACCAGCAAGCTGGTGGCTTGGAAAAGGGTGCCGTGAAGAGGGATGAGTGACTTTATATTCTTAATTCCCAGAGCAACCGGAACAGTAACAGAACTGCATTGAGGTTCCTGTCCTTTCACAGGATCCCTCCACCTGCATGTCACCCCTTCTGCAGGGTGCAGTCCAATTGGTCTGGTCCCTAGTGTTTATCAAGAACTTCTGGAAGTACCTACAGGTAGCAGTTATTGTAGACAACTACTCTTCCTTGTACTGCACATGCAGTGCACTCCATGGACTGCTGATGGCACACCAACAAATCACAGCAGAGACTTGCTATTGGCACTATCTGTTTCTTGTCACTTTTCACATGGGGCATTATGTTTTCTAATGAAACTAAAGTCATCAACTCATGATTGCACAGAGGAGGCAAACACATTCAGGACTAATAATAACTACTGGAGATGTTAGAAAAGGTGCAAGATGATTTGCAAAACATACTTGTCTCCTTTACTCTTAGATATGCCAACCAGTTTCTCAATGCCGCCTGCGTCTCGTAAGGCCTTGGCATTCTCCATGTTTTTAGTGATGACTTCATGCAGAGTGCAGCAAATGGCAGTAACGGTGTCATCAGACATGGCCTTGCTTGATGAGCTGTTGCTGTTGTTAGCGCCTGGCAGTCGGTGGACCAGATCCCTCATGGCATACTTGCCTTTGTTGAAAGAAAATGAAGGGAGAATTCAGAAGATACAGTAATAAAGGGTGATGGAGAAGAAGTACAGGGAAAACACGCAAGACTGTTAGCACCGTTTGCATCATTGCATGTAATCTAATTGGCTGCTGATACAATTTTGGAGCAAGACACATGTATATGATTGCACGCTGAAGCATTTCACACATTGGGGACTTTTAATATTTTCATATTACACCAGTTGGAGACATCAGATATGGGCCATATCATGCCCTTGTAGGAATGAAAGGATGATAGTCCAGGCCACGTATATGTATAAAGATAACCTGAATACCACAACTTACAGAGCTTGGCAAGTCCAGATCTCCCATCACATGACTTGTAACTTAAGTTACTACAAATAAAATGTACATCAGTTGTTAAAAACACTATCATTAATGTAAAACCAATGACCCTGCTATTTGTAAGTCTTCTCTGAAGGACAGGTTTCACAGCACAAGATTAATTCTATACTACATGCAGAAATTAAACTGGGTTTATTAGTGTTTCTATGAATTTATTGCTTATTCAGTGCTTAGAGATGAAACCGCACTCTTCCACACATCCTTAGTGGTATACATGGTATTGACCAGAAAGGCAGCTCTTCTGACAAATGTTCCTGTCTGATACTTAGAGATTATTTTATAAAACACTAACTTCTAGAACTTAATATCTCCTATAATGAATGGTGCAACAAATTTTTTTAATGGTCACTTTGAACTGATGACACAAAGAAGAAATCCTGTTGAATATTATTTCTTTTTTCATGTTTAAATTAATTTTTTTTTGCAAACTTGCACTTAAAAGTCATGTAGTGCTTGTGAAAATAACAAAAGCGCAGCTTCTGATAATTTTTATCTATATATATAGTATAAACATAAATACATAAAAATGTAGTGCAGAATTAGCAACAGCAGAGATATATGGAATGCCTCACAGCAGTTCTATAGAGGGTGAGGGTTGCTAATGCAGGAAAAGAGCAGCTCACTAGTTCAACACAATGACTACAAGATCAGAGAGGGTGAGGGCCTGATGAAGTTAATGCTGAGGTGAGCGACACAACTCTGAAACACCTTTAGTGCAGCTGTGCTAGGAATTTGCATACAGCAATCACCATGAGAGTGTATCATGCAGGATGAAAAGGACAGGAAAATTGGAAAAAAAATATAATTAGCAATCTAATCTACATAACATTTTATGAATGAAATAATCAGGTATGACTGTTGTATATAATATGATAATTTAATCAGATTTTTTTGATAACTTAAAAAGTTCTGATCAATTAGTACTTTTGGGTACTTATTATAAATATCCTTTCTGAATTCATAAATTCAGTTGTGTGTGTCCACATCTGAAAGCAGAGCTAAGAGGAAAATCACATATTTTAACTATCAAATGTTAAATAATTGTTATTTCTCACAATTTTGCCTGCTACAGTAGAAATACAGTCAGTCATCTGGAACAGAATATTCATAGTACAGATAAAAACCAAAATCCCTGTACTGAAATGTTAAACTTTAACTTTTTGGGTAATGTGAGATCTTAGAAATTACTCACTCTGTATCATGAAAAACATTCCTGATTATAAAAAGCATAACATTACTAACAAAATGTGCACAGTAGGATTTGAATCCTACTGGTGTGCTGCAATGCAAATACAAACACAAATCTTGTCCTCAAACATTTTTATTTCTTTGCACTTAATACTTAATTGGCCATTTGTATTACTAGCTTTTCAGGAATATTATTAACATCATACGTAGTACAGATATTAACACCACTTTCTCTTTCAGAAAAAGGTTTGTTTGAACAAACTTTAAACCTTTTTTCCAATACACATACATGAAACTCTGTTCAAGAACAGCCTGAAGTGCTATTTATAGCCGCAAGTTTGTTCTTTGTAACATAAACACATTAATAGTTGCTTATCATGTACAGTGATTACTTCCGTCTGTAGCATGTAATAAATAAAGCTTATGCAGCAAAAAATAAACCATGATCTGATGTAGCTTTTAGTCTTCTAATGCAGCCTTTTGTCAGGAATAAGTACAAGTAGATGAATCAGATACATGAGTAAGACTTTCTACTTTATCCTGTATACACATTCAGGACATACCTATGATCCTTTTTCCTTTCTTCCCTCACTCAAATGTGCAAACCACTGTCTCAGTCCTCTGATGGAACCAGATGACAATGGTGACATCAGTAGCCAAAGAATGTGTTCCTTGGCACAACCAGTTCCTTGGATGGCTGCCCCAAGCACACTTTTTTCCTACAACCTGCCTACTAGTCCAGTCAATAGTACTCACGCCTGTACACATGCCTAGACACACGAGATACTTCCTAAAATAAACAAAATATTTGGAGTTATCAGAAAAACCTCATGAGAAAAAGTGAACTCAATCAGGCAATGGTATAAGCATTCTGGACACGTTCATGCTCAACAAGTTCTAACATTTCTGACATGCACACACTTAACTTAGGCATGTGAAGATAAAATCGGTATTAGATACTTCAAAACAGTCAATTAGGCTTTTATAAATAATATGTAACAGTGAAACACTTCCGTATCCCTTATTCTGAGTGGCTGTGGTAATTCCAGCTCAATAAACTATTCAGTTCTTAGTCAGTTGTGTAATAAAATATATTCTCAGTGTTTTGGCATTTTTTTTCCTACGAATTGCATGGAATTCAGCCCTTGGATAGGAAGTGCCAGGAGACTCACCGTACAAATCTATAGACTTAAAATCTAGTCAGCACATTGCAGCTTTGGCAGCTTTGCAAGCCGGTTTGGAGATCCCTCTATCATAACCTGTAATGATAATGCCAGGCCACCAGTCCTGCTAGGAGCTGTCTGTGTAGGAGACAGGCTTCCTTCTCCCTGCCCTGTCCCCAAGGTGAAGTGGAAGCCAGAACTGCCACCTCAGAGAGAGCTGCTCACACATGCAGGTAAAGCAGCTGACACCACACTGACAGGCATCGTGCCTCAAACTGTCCTCCCAGAGGTTCACCAGAAAAAGATAGTACACCAGCTGGAAGAAGAGGGGAATGACCAGACTATAGGGTTGCTCTAAGTCACTGTTTTACAAGGTCTTATATTTTTTTAACAGGTGTAACTGCTGACATATTTTCTGTGAATTTAGTATTTGAACACTGTATTACCTGCATCAAAGGAAGCGTGGCCAAGAGAGATGATTCTCTCCCCTTCCCCCCCTCCACATTGTGAGACCCCACCTGGAGAACTGTGTCCAGTTCTGTACATGTATTAAGTAGTCATGGCATGGTTCCTAGTTTCAGAAAACAAGACTAGGAGGATTAACTTATTGAAAACACAAGAAACATCAAACAGATAGTAATTCAAACTAAGAGCCCTGTCCTAGAGGTAGGGCTTGCTCTAATAAAAGTAATATGTCATCTTGAAGATACTAATTAATTCACATTGTGAAGGTAGATAATAAAAAAATAGCAGAATACCCCCATATTTTGTTGTAATGATAAAGATATCCTATTCTAGAACTGCTGGTGTCCATATGTCACAATATAAGTGAATTTTGTTCTCTTGATTCTAACACATGCGCTTCATGTAAATTTCCAGGCATACATCGTTTTGTGCATTTTCATTACCCTTGTGTGTTTATAAGACCATTCAACTTCAGTATTTCACAGCCTTTTTGAAAATAGTAATACTTGGAGAGCTTTTATTATTATTTTCAATCCTTATTTAGTAAATGTGGCAAAACAGACTATTTAATTTGGGTGGAACAGATTTTAATGAGTTAGTATATTCTACTGGTAGTCTAATAAAGTGTATTCATCACATGTTAGCAGTGGCAGAACTACCACATTTGTGTTTGATAGAGTTAATTTGTGCATCATGCTTTTTTAAGGTGTAATTAATAATCACTATCGGTACTAGCGTAGCATCTGAAAGTACCCCTTAGATGTCCAGCTGTCATTGTACCAGAGGAACCTTGTCCCTTCTTTGATCACTGGAAATCTTCAGTACATAATGAGGTGCAAACTCTGGACTTGGACTGCCTAGGCAGTAAAAGGCATCTTGTAAGCATCACAGCAGCAGTGAATCCCATGTGACTTAAGAGGGTAGAAGTTTTTCAAGTTTTCACAAGGTAATTTTCTTCTGCTACTGAAACACTTGAAAGGGAAAAACTACCTCAAACTGTAAAGGCAACACAGGCTAAGAAGCAAGAAATGCTGTTAGACTGGATCTGAGAGGCAAACACTTGTTTTTTTTGGGGGGGCAAAGGACAAAGCAAATAAAAAATGAAGCAGGGTAATGCCAGAGCTGTTTGACTGGTGGCAAAGTTAGTGTGGATGGAAAGAGACAAAGTTGTAATTTTGAAAGCAAGAAAGGCTGCAGTACTGAGGATGAGACTAGTCCATGAGAATAGATGATCACTCTTAAGACTTAAGGGGGCACCAGTAAGTGTAGGTGAGACAAGAACAAGAAATAATCTACCCAACGTGGCAATATTGGTTTATAAAGGACTCCTATTTCAGAAGACAGAGTAGCACAAATCAAAATAAGGGTCATCAGCCACCCCAAAGTTTAATGCCTCTTGCTTAGCACTGAATGATATGACTGCCACTGCAACCACTGAGCCAGTGACTCTGCTGTCCACCCCTATCCTTAAGATATAGTCCCTAGCATAGCTTACCGCAGCCCATATTGCACGTGAAGGAACTATAAGTCACAACAGTTTGTAATCAGCAACTCTTTCTTCTATTTGTCTGGTGACTTCTGGTTTGACATGACTTAGGCTGTTGACATGTCATGTCATGTTGACATCCAAAACACAGCACTACACCAGCTTCTAAGAAGAAAATTTGCTCTATCCTGGTCGAAACCAGGACAACAGGGCAGATTTATGAAAGTCAAACACAGTGGCTACTGTCAAACCTACATGGCCTGGCCAGTGTCAGGTAATGGTTGGTGATGTTAGGGACGAGAACACTGTGCATGA